AAAACAAACAGTATTAATATTTTTCAAGATATTCCTAATTCTGATCTGCGCAAACGTGAGCGGAGCTTGCAACATGCCTTTAAAAAGCGCCTACTTAAGGGCAAAAGACCATGCCAGAAAAGGTTCAAGCGTTTTACTCAGCCAACATTCGGTTTGGGCAGTAAGGCAGCCTGCGTCGTATTCGGCGCGCATGCTGCCGCCATGAATCCTTTGTTGGCTGTCTCAAAATTGCACTGAGACTTAAGATGTCCACTGTTTCCTACCTAAACTGTATACTTTTTCGTCTACGAATGAGCAGTTAGATAAGTCCTCAGACGCTCTGTGCCAACTCTTGAAAAATCTCTACGTCCAGCCTCAGTAGCAAACATAGTAGAAAAGGTACATGCCAAACATGTTAGCTCTGATCAGCCCACATTAGGCACAAGCATGCACCCTTGCCCATCACCGGCCACGAACCAATAAGGGAAAATGTAGACACGCTTTTGCTGTATCATGTCAGGCACCAGTGTAAGTAGCGGCGGCTCCGGGAATCCTCCTCAAGAGATGATTCCGCGAATTAATCGTCGTCTCAAAATGTGTACATGACATCGAGCTGCCAGAACTTACAGCAGGGAATAATATAAGGGCATCACGGCAATAAAGTGGGTATACACTGCTAGAAGTAGAAGCGGGGTGCCTATTAATTCATAGCGGAATGGAATGAGTAATGCTTACAGACGCCAAGGGTACGTAAGGTTCATGATTAGAGCATTATGCGAACTCAATTACTCAAGTGTGTGTATGTACGGTGAATAACAAAGTATATTGTAAATTTAGTAACAATTTCTTACAATCATTTTTATTGAGCTCATTCAAGACCATGCATTCAGTGTCAGAATGACGGATCATATCAATATACGTACAGCATCAAAAGGCACAGGTTGAGGAGTTAAACTAGTTAAAGTGATTTTTGAGTTTTGACAACAAAGATAAATTTATAGTAGGCACCTGCAAGCCAGAGCACAGAAAGTATGATGGAGTGCAATATGTAGATACCACAACACAAACGCACGGCAATATCAGTCTTGCAAGCAGGATTCTTAATAAGTCCCTTCTGATTTCTGCTTGTTGTCACAAGACTACGATTGGCATTGATCGGAACTACTATACCAAATGTAACGTCATCAATACCGGTCATAACACAAGTTTTTTATAGTTGAAGATTTGTGCAATTCCTTATTACAAAGAGCGCCCACATAATACGTTTTCCGGGAAGGTAAACATAAGAGTTCGCTGAGTATTCAGAAGTACACCAAGTCAGCAACGTTCAAAGCTTCATACAAGGGCTTACTGCAAAAATTCAGTCAATGGAGGAGAAGCACTTAAGGTAAACCTATAATGAGCTCGTACAATGCAAGACGTTCAACAAAAAGCCTCAATGGGATGAAACTAAGAACAACTTTGTGGGTTCTAGATAATGGCAAAAACAGCAAAATAATTTTAAACAGGTGATATAAACTTGAAGGATGTTGTTCGCACTGTTCTTTTTTAGCCTCCATTTGCTCCTCTGAGAGTAACAAAAATGATTTCGGGTTCACCGAGCAAGACAAATCTCTGTATCGTGTAACAAACGGCTGTAACACAATTATATTATCACAGCAAAAAACTTGGAACAAGGCCCTGCTTCTGAGGCATCTGCGGTAGTTTGCTTGCAGTCAATATCCAGCTCGCGTTGTCTCGACTCACGATAACGAAGGACAGCAGCAAATCGAGAAGTGGTTTAAACTTTATAGCTGACGGCTGCCAGCACAACTAACTCGACTGGAGGGGAAAGTACCGTCTACGTCGTCTTGCTCTTTTTGCATTGTGCTGTCATCAACTTTGGTGGTGACATATTTTCGGTGCTGCCACGTTTTTCTTGCTAGTTTTACACGTATAAGCTCGGTTTTCTCAACTACGCGCCTCGTGGCAGACGTCAACGGAGGCGAACCTTACGTAAATGTTATTTACACTCCCGCACCAGGCTCCCTGACCCACATGAACGAACAATCAATTCTCTCACATAAAACATCAGCGTAGGCAAACTTTGAGCAGCCTGCTTTGACGCTCGTAAATATGAAAATGTTCGCCACTGTTGTTCAGTCGAAAATAGACAGAATAGTGGGAGAAGGAAGAAAAGGAATGAGTCATATTCCGAAAACGATATTCTCAGACGAAACAGACATCCATACGAACTTTATTATCTCTCGCTTCGCAAGATAACGAGCGAAGCAGACTAATAAATTATGTGCCCCGGAGAAGTGGTGAGCAAACATCGGGGCGTACGCTGATGACTAAGTGAAAAAAAAGAAAAGTAATTACTCGAGTCACTGTAGTTGCCTAGCAGCAGATGCAATTTACGCTGCTCAACTGTAGTGGTATTTAACATTGTGGGCACGCGAAGATGCAGGGAAAGCTATCAGAAATAGCTTGCTGTCATTCCCACAACGGCTCGTGTGGTCCATTCAACGTCGGCGCCTTATGAGTTCAGCGTGTAATTCTGCAGGCTAATCATGAAGTCAGAACAACATATTAGCGGCGTAGACGAAAAGTTAGGTTGCGCATAAAGCAGAAGCCGGGGAGCTCATTTACGTTCTACTGCAGTTAATGAAGTTTGTTTTCTTTAACTCACAGTGGTTTGTTACGCCGCACTATGCATCGCTCTGTGGTCCTTTTGTGCGTTTTTATGAAGTGGAAGGGCATTACGTATATGAAACTTTTTATATTAGAACCTAATGACTACATTTTCATTCATGTAGTACTTCAACTGTTATCTGGTGCTATTTGATCTCGTATGATGAGCTCAAATGACTAAATGAATGTGCTTCGCAATATGTGCGTATTTCGTGTACCTTTGGCAAGGGCCCACATTGAGGCATAAAGACTTGATTTAGTAAATCATTTACAATTATAGAGACTGAGAAATATCTTGTAGTAATGAGGACTGCATAATAGTGGAATATGCTGTGATGGGATGAAAAATTTTTTAAGTGACTATTTTGAGAGTGGGCATACGCAACGCTTAGTGTTCTCATATTTGGGCATAGAGAAAATACCTTTAACAGTCTCATAATACTGGTCACTTTAAACAAAAACAGCATTTGAAAGAAAAAAAAGTTGTTCATATGCTGGGTAAAAAAAGTTTGTAAATTTTCTTTAGGCGGGGTGAAGGCGTAAATATGTGGCGTTCAATTTGTTCACTTATACATAAACACGCACACAATACACTTTAAATAACACATCGAAGAAATATCAACAAAGCAACTTAATACATACATTATAGAACACTGAACCAGAGGTAAGTTTCAAATATCACTCTTCCACAAACATGGACACAGTGGGCTTTTCATGTCTTCTTGGAAGCAAAGTTTCTTAACGGTATGATGGGACATGTTCGGGCACCGACATCAGCCTGTTTCAAATATGTGCTCTAGCTGCTCAACTAATACAAAATTGTGTGCATGCGCGAAATATTATTTTGACCAAACGTTGCCGACAGGTGTTGCGATTGGACGTGCTTTAAGCGTGGCACAATCAACGGAATGCTGCTCCGAATGAAAATGCACCTACAACAGCGCACCGGAAAAGAGATCACGATCTTTTCCTAAGGCGGTGGCCAGAGCACTAGGTAGGCCCTTCATCATGGTGATCTGCTAAGAGTATACCACGAATCTTTTTTTTTTGTTTACCGTAAGAAGCCTTGTTATTATCAGAGATTGTGATGTAATAGTTCTGAGGTCGGAACTGAAGTCATTATTACTTTTTACATTGTTTACTGATCAGCCATGAAGATGAGGTTCCACATGAAGGTGGTACTGTGGTTACGATTTCTAACAGCATACCTTCCCGCAACATTTGAATTAGCATTTAAAATTGATCAACACAATGATCATATTTGTAATTGCCACTTAATTTACATAAATGTTAGCATAGTATGCAATTTTAAATGACGCTAGCGCTGCTTATTTTGTTATTTGAGAAAAATAACGATTGCGTTTAGTATTTACCCCGATGTTGACGCACTATTCATTATGTAGTAGCTCCGATGCGTGACACTGCACATAATTTTCTTGAATTTCGCTAAAGCGGGAAACACATCTAACTACTGAATGTTCATGCAAAAGTTTTTTTTTTTCATTCGTTGCCCTTAAAAGAAGCTGAAAGACGTATTTTCAGCTGGAAGAGATTTCTAACAAAATTCACAAAAATTTCTCCAACCTATGTTACTCAAGCACAAGCCATCTGGCCAGGGCGTAACCTCTACTCAATGGCTTCTTTTACAACTATGCATCTCTGGGTAGGTTTAGCAGTGTTGTCTCGTGCAACACGATGCATGGTGGATAATACAGTAACTTCCGATTTCACAACCGTCAATATATAGTTCATTATTGAAAGCTCAATTTAACACTACTTCTTATCACTAAACTTTTTGATGCGTCTCATTTGAACTTACAATCACTAAACTCAAGTATTAACGCACTGGATTATTGTATTCATAACAAGTCGAAGAGCCTTCGACGGTACGTGTCCTTGGGTCAAATATGTTTTCTATTGGCACTGATGGCACTCACATCTTCTGAGCCAATTAACAACAGTCTCTTTCGCAAGAACTTCAAAGGTCGTGATCCCTTGCTCACGGAATGTTTGGTGCATAATAACTCATTTGGACAGGTTAGTCAATAAATTAATCTGACGTAATTCCTTTCCAACGCAAGCGATTAGCCAACAAGTACACTCTATATCAATAAAATTTAACGCAGCTTTGTACACAGTAAAATTGAACACACATTTTTGTTCTACTTCTGTTAGTTTAACTAGGCGCTATTGAAGCGGAGTGGATGGCAACTTATACACCTTTGCTGAGACTACGTTCTAGTTTTGCGTCGGCTTAATCACAGTGAGGGATGCTTTGACACTCTCTACGTGGTCACATTCAATGCGTTTCGGGCATTAGTGTAGGCCTTTCATGTAGCTGGCCTTTCTTTTTGTATACTTCTCCAGGCTGACTCTTCACATGCCTCGCCAGATTTCTGTGGGTTACCGCTTAATGCCATACGGCTGTTTTCGGCCACATAGTAGTTTTCTGAAGGCATTCCTGAAGTCGGGGCTGAAGATGGTGTAGATTATCGGGTTGAGCATGGAGTTGACGTAGCCAAGCCACAGAAAGACGCTGAACGCGTAACCGCCGGACGAGCACGACGTGCAGAGAGTCATGAGGAGCACGTTGACGAAGAAGGGCATCCAACAGACGACGAACACGCCCGTGATGATGGCCAGAGTCTTGGCAGCCTTGCGCTCGCGCTTGGACTCGAGCGACTCGCGGGAGATGTGCGGCTGCTTGACCTGTAGCTTGCGGTCTTTTTTGCTCTGCAGCTTCGGTCGCAGCGGCGCCCCGTCGTTGTTGCGTGAGACGTCAGACTCCTGCGTGGTGGTCCCGCCGCTACACGAGTTCGGACTGTGATTCTCACCGGCCACGATTACCGAGATCTCCACGTTTGAAGAAGGACTCTTGGCCATCGCAATAGGAACCTTGCTGCCCGGCTTATGGCGAATTCTGCGGCGTGCCACTTGATAGATGCGCCAGTAGAGCAGCAGGATTAGTATCAGAGGCACGTAAAATGTGGCGCAGGTTGCAAATATCTGGTAGCCAACGTCCTGGCTGACCAGGCAGATTCGGTTGACCTGGACCCTTCGCTGGAAGTCCGGGTCCTTCCAGCCGAACACAGGCGCCACCGAAACAGCGACGGCAACAGCCCAGACCAGAAGAATCATGAGTGCAACCTGGCGCGAGTTCCGCTGGCGCACGTAGTCTACCTGAGCCACCGTTCTGTAGCGGTCCATGGCAATGGCGAGGAGGTGCAGGATTGAGGCCGTGCAGCAGAGCACGTCACAGCAAGTCCACACATCACACAGAGCGGGCCCTAAAGCCCACTCGCGGCTCACTTCAGCGACGGCTGCTAGGGGCATCACAAGGCAGGCGACCATGAGGTCGGCGACCCCTAGCGATAACACCAAATAGTTTCCAACAGTTCTCAAATTACGCTCCATGAATATGGCTGCGATCACAAACACATTACCAACCACGGTGGCGACTATAATGAGTCCTAAAATGCACGATACGAGCACGACTGCAAATAGTCGAAGCTTGGGCGGCAACGTTGCCGGCGAAAGCGCATCGTCCACCTCGACAGCAACTGCTGCAGCGGCATTGTAAGACGACGCGTTTTGGCTCGTCAGTGACATGTTCAGCTTTGCCGCATCGCTGCCGCCAACAGTGCTTTCAAACATCGTGAACCACGGTTGTGTATCGATGGCCTCAGTGGCCGTTGAATTGGCAACGTCCGATGTCCAGTTGGAAGTGAAGGGCAAAGAGATGCTAGCCCTCGTTTTTGTTCGATTCACTACATGAAACAAGATGGTCCCGGCCTGCCAAATGTTTTCGAGAGCACTCGGTGGTGTTTGGTTCATATCTGCCTGCTGGCGCGGCACCGCATTCAGGATGTATGGGCGCTTACCACGTCCAGGGTTGGTTCACTGGTGATGTGGTGACTTTTACCTGCACATAAAAAATAAAAAAAAACGAATATTCTTTTTAGAGTGCGGATATGCAAGTGCACACAACACAGCTTATTGAACTCTCACGTTGATTGATATGAGGGATTTACTTTTTTTTGCTGGGCTGAGTGGCTGAGTGGCTGAATGGCTGAGTGGTCTAAGGTGCCAGATCCAAGGAAAACCTTGCCATTGAGCTCTCACGTACACTTGATGTATTCTGCCCGCCGTCATTACAATCATTAGAATGAATCACAAAGGTTCTGTAGTATCCTACTCAGTGCATGTGCCCATGAAGGGAATACAGCTCACTATTGCTTTTTGAGTCATTTTGTTTTTAGTAGTTTTAACTGTGGGTCTCAGCACTGAGTATTGGGCAAGAGGATTTTGAGTGGCGCATCGGTGTATACTACGACTTAAACTTTACCACCTGACATTTAAATGTGCTCATTGTACACGTTGAAACGACGTCCTCGCATTACACCTATTTTGGCTAAGGACATCCTAATAGCTGATAATGAAACCTTTGACATCACGTCACGAGCAGCTGCAGAAAGCTAAATCGTGCGAGTTAAGCCGATACCTAAGGTACACCTTGCAACCGGTATACGAATTAAGTGGTTCTCTTTCACTGTGAAACGCGAGACTATTTTAGATTTTATGAATGTGGGTCTCATAGCTGCCAGCCGACCACAATACGGCACTGGCTGCATTTCATTTTCTTGCGAACTCAATTTAAGAAATAGATTTAGAGCAGTTTATAGGTATAATTATTTAGCAACTGCGCAAGCGAATCAAAAGGCGATGCGGAAATATTTGCCATAAAATTTATTCTTTCGACTGTAATGATTTCCACGATATTGCTCAAATAGACAAAGTTATGGTTTGTGGAACGACCATAATCAAAATTTTCTTCGTCGTTTACGTTACGTGCGAAACCGTTGTAAAAACACTGCAAGTAGGGGGAACTATGTGTATCATGAAACTAATGTCAGGCAAAGTCTGTGAATTATTTCAGGCACTTTCCTGTTCAGCTAAACTACAGAAGTACCAGGAACTGCTAAAACGCACAACCGTCTTATGTTTATGCACTGAGTGACACCTATAAAAACGTTTGCATTAAACAGAACTTTGTGCATATTAGTATTGATTTAGAAACAAAGTCTGCAGTAAAATATTAAGCGCTTTCCCGTTGCTTTCAATAACAGAGGGTCCGAGAAATTTCAGCAATATTGAAACAACAAACAACGCTGACTTTTACGTAATTACTTAAAACACGCAATCCCGTTTTCTCTATTATTTGACACAACGTCACCAAACAACCTCGGATACGTGGTTGGCTGTGCGCCACCTACTCACACCCGCGTGGCCTTGCATAAGAAAGACCCACACAACCACTTTGGCGCCTACTCTGCACGCGTGCAAGCACGTTATAATATACGTCCAATATAGCGTCACATCTGCTGGCTGAATATTACACAATGAGCAAATACGCTGCCCACGATGTTTGCATCTCCACTCTGGTAAACGCTATTACACACTCGGCTCACAGAGTGCCAATTTTTTGCTGAACAGCCGCCTATAAAGAGAGAGAAAAGCAGCAGAATCATGCAGCTCGTAACGGTATACGCCCTGCAGGATATCGTCGAAAAAGCTCAACATAGCAGTTGCGCGCCTACACGAACATGAAAGAAAAACAAATTGGCAACCCTTAAGCTTCGCTTTCAGGAGCTGAACGCGATAGTGACTTCCTGTTTATATTGCGTATTTCAAACACCTAGCGCATGAAACCTTTTCGATTTTGCTGTGCACCCACTATACGTGGCGTTAACGGAATGGGTGCAGTAGTGTGTGTGGCTTTGTAGTGGGAGCTTTCAACCACAGGGTTGTCACGATAATCACATATTCTGACGCCCATTTAAAATAGACGCTTGTACCCTTCATTATTACAGCAATATTTCACGTTGCGTTGTGAAGCACGTATACAGGACGCGTGTGTTTGTGAAGCATGAAAGCTACTTTTACTGCATTTTCAAGCAGACAAATATCTTTTTACTGTATTCAAAAGCAAAGCATCCCGGGCGTGTAGCAGAACATCCGCTTGCCACGCAAAAGACCCGGGTTTGATCCACGCTCGGACCCAAACAACCCTGGTGTGGTCCCCACGGTCCCCACTCTGCTTCAGGATTTTGTATCACTTGATTTCAATTGCATTGTTCTCAATTTTTCGGTCACGCATATTACATGCTGGGAAGTTGGTAAAACAGAACAACCAGTTTCAGTTAATTATTTACTTTAGAAATATCATTCCTAAGTGTGCTTGAATATATTTGTGTTCGAAGTAGCTGAATTACATTGTTTTACTAACCCTACTCATTGCTATCAAAACAACTCTGATAAAGAGCAAAGACAGTTGGGCGTGAGCTGTTAGAAGCTTTTTTATAACGCAGAAAAAAAATTTCCACGCTGCTTCTGTTCAGGCGAGTTGATCTTGACATGTGTTTCCTCTCTCTCTCTCTCTCTCTCTCTCTCTGTATATATATATGGTGTATATGTATATATATATATGTATGTGTATGGTGGAGTAGTAGAGAAAAAGGGAGTCGAAGAAAAATTGGTTCTTCATCGTACAGCCATCACGTCTCCTGTGTCACACTAGTCGACAGGATCTATCGTTCCATTCATCATGGCGACATCGCAGAAAGTCATCAACATCCCACGAAGTACTCGGGAGCATCTGAGGACGTCCCCTTTGACAAATGGCTCCAGCTCTTCGAAGTGAGGACTGCGGCCGCAGCATGGACGGAGTGAGACAAGCTGTGCTACTTTTTCGATTACCTTGAAGGTGAGACTTTCCGGGGCTTTCTCACCTGAGGTTTTCGACACTTACGCGTCTTGGGAGAGTTTATCTGAACGCACGAAGGAACGTTTTACGAGTGGCGTCACGAATCCTTTCCGCCAACTCATTCACTGTCGGTTGAGACCAGGCCGAAGCCTGAAGGAATATTATAATAAAAAGATGTCTCTCGAACACCTCGCCAACCTAAAGGACGCGCACCTTATATCAGGGCTCATCGAAGGCTTCCTGCGCATAAGGAAATGGTGCTTGCTGGGCTTACCTTGTGTAAACCCGCGGCATGGCTTACAGCTCCACTTCGTGTAGAGTCAACCATGCAGAGAGTGAAGTTGCAGCGCCTTCCACCAGCTCGGAATACAGATTAACGTGACAAGCGACAACACTCGTCAGCGTCCACGTAATACCGTGGTACGAACACCCGTGCACGAGTGCAAATGCTGCGCGATGAACGGCTCACCCCGACAGATGCACTGGCATAATGAATGCCCACGACGCACAAGCATTTCCGCCCTTTCCACCAACCAGGGAAACGAGGAGGGCGACCCAGAGTTCATGTAATTCAGTTTGATGCCCTCATTAACGGGTACCCTGGCAGCGCTACTCTTGATATCGGAGCTAGAATTACCTGTATCAATGAAGCAGTGCTGAAGGCACTTCGCCTATAAATAATGAGGAATTCATGCATCCCACTTCAACAAGTCACATCATCTACCAAAACTTCGGGTCGCGTTAATCTAAAGGTACAGATAGGAAAAGTGGCAAGTGAAATTCAGGCTCATGTTCTACAAGGCATGAAGAGCAACTTACTTCGTGGCTTGGATAGTGCCTGCCTCTTTAACTTGTCGCTTGACCTTGACACCATGACTTTATGCCAAGAGAATGGCATCCTCTATTCTCGTACACAAAACCATATAACGACTAACATGGGCACGTCTTCGCAAGGTGTTGAATTTTGCGATGTACTACATAGAAATAAAATTCAACAGTTGGCCTTGAAACAGCTTATCCGCAAGTACGATGGCGTTTTTTTCTATGTCACAGACAGACATTGGGTGCATCAAAGCGAAATGCACCACATTCATCTCACCAACAATGTTCCCATTCGTAGAGCTCCCTATCGATGCTCAGAAACCAACAGTCTTGAAATGGACCGCAGATCAACGACCATCTCAAGCACGGTGTCATACGACTATCTACCTCCCCATATTCTGCGTCGGTGTTTCTGGTAGAGAAAAAAGGGGAAGGTCGCACGCGCTTCTGCATCGACTACCGCTAGCTAAACGAATTGACGGTGCCTGATCATCAGCCCATCCCTCGCATCAACGACGTCCTCGATTCTCTGGGGAAATCGACGTACTTCTCGATGGTGTACATAACGTCAGGGTTCTGGCACGTGAAGATTCACCCTGATGACATTTATAAACGGTGTTTGTCAAACGTACCGGTCACTACGAGTGGCTCGTCATGCATTTTAGGCTTCGGAATGCTCCGGTCACCTTCAAACGGGCTGTCAAATCCATATTAGTAAACCAGCGTTCGCAGCACGTCACCAGCACGTCAGGAATTACTTCGACAAGATTGTTGTCCACTCTGACACGTTTCCAGACCATCTGAGGCATCTAGAGGGCGTTTTAAAAGCTTTCAAAAGTGGAGG